TTTGGGAGGGGGGGCTGTGCTCCATTTGTGTTCAACCTTGGACAACAGTGGAAGAAGGCAGAAAAAAAAGAATGACAGAAGAGAAGAAGAACCTGTATGGGAGCGCGCACACACACACACACACACACACACACGGTCTTTGATGCAGCCCCTTTCTCCTGCTCCGAGGCGTTTTGTGCTGGTGCAGAAACGGTTGCTTCTAATTTTAGCTCCTGGCTGGATGTGAGAGGAGAGGCAGGAGGGAGGAAGAGGAGGAGAGACAGAAAGATAAATATGAGAGACAAATAAAGGGAGAGCAGAGATGGGGAGACTAACTGTCTGTGATTGGATACAGCTGACTGATGTTTCCAGATAAAATGTAAAGATCTTTACACTTTAACTCAAACCAAAGCCCTGCTGCCTGTGAACTGAACTCCTTCATCATGAACACAGTAAAAAGACCATTTCAGATTTATGAAACTCCCCTACGTACTGTACTGTATGTGTGACCTGTGCAGCGTTTCATTGGCTGTGCTCTCCAGAGCACGTCATTGGACCGACAGCAGATCATTAACTCAGACTCAGTCTGTGGAACAGATTACGTTTGATTGAATTCTAATTAAGGCACCTCGGCAGACGGAGTTTTTTTGTTTTTGTTTTCCATCAAAATACGTTAGTCATGTCCCAGACTGCGGCGCTGCTGTTGCTGCTGTGTTATAAAAAAGTCAGTCACTTCTCCCACGGTTCATCTCCACAGATCCAACCGTTAATCCACACCCGTGTAACTCCCATCTTTAATCACAGCCCAGTTTGATGTCCTGTGTGGTTTTTCTTTAATCACACAGAGCAGCAGCCCAGTTTGATGTCCTGTGTGGTTTCATCATCACAAAACAAGCTGCTCATCATAGTCATATGGCTCTGAACTCACAGTCCCTCTGTTTAACCTCTCTGATGTCTCTGATGTCACAGCTTTTTAACCTCATCTTATAAATATGCAGCGTGTTTAATTTTACATTTGAAATAATGTGTTATTTGTTGTATTTATTTTGTTTCCTCAGCAGAAAAACTGGAAGGATTTACCTTATAGATTACACAGTTATATTTCTGTCACATTTATATGTTGTGTGTGTGTGTGTGGGGGGGGGGGGGGGGGGGGGGGCTGAGAAAATCTCCTTCCTCAGACAAATCCTCTCCAACAACAAACAGAGCAACATTTAGGCAAAGACAGATCATCAGGTTTTTCTTTAGTTCTAGAATCAAACAGAAAAACAGTCCGGGAAGTGAACCAGAACAGGAAGTGAACCAGAACAGGAAGTGAACCAGAACAGCAAGTGAACCAGAACAGCAAGTGTCACAAAAATAAAAAAATGAGCAAATAAATATTTATATGAATTTAAATATATATATATATATATATATATACATATATTGTCATTCAAAGATAAATAATTATACCCTTGCGTTGTTCATTTCCCTCAGCCGTGGGGCCGTGGGGATGCTCCCTGAAGGTGGTGCTGTTGAAGCACTTTGTGTCACACAGCCTTTTGATACAGCTTAACAAAGGCCTTTGACAGAACTCAACGACGGTCAGTCCGTCCATCCAACCAATCATCCAATCATCCATCCATCATTTATCTTTATTTGTATAATGCCAGTTAACGTCAGTGTAAAGTGATGAAAACCTCTCAGTCACAATGATCTGTAGAAACAGACTTTTAGTAAATGGTACAAACTTTTTTAAATTACAGAGAATTTTTATTTTTTACTGACATCTGTCTGTAAAGGTCAGTGAACAACCTTGAAATAAAAAAATACTGGCAGGAAAACAAATTCAGAGTAAGTTTAAATAAAAGATCTGTCTTTAACTTCAAAATAATTATACCCTTGCGTTGTTCATTTCCCTCAGCCGTGGGGCCGTGGGGATGCTCCCTGAAGGTGGTGCTGTTGAAGCACTTTGTGTCACACAGCCTTTTGATACAGCTTAACAAAGGCCTTTGACAGAACTGGGTCATAGAACAGAATGAGGGAATGATGTCACAGAGGAACAGCCGACACTCTGCCTCTTCAGTCATTTGTCTCCAGATATCCACTAGCTGCTAACAGGAGAACTGCAATGCTGTGGTCGACCACTGCAGTTCATCACAATGTCGGTGGCGTTTAAATCAATGTGGCTACGGCAGAGAGTCGGTCTGTCCCTGAGGGCTGTGGCCGAGAGAGGGACCCTCAGCCCCCCCCCCCCCCCCCGCCGCGTCCCTCCTGCTCCCTCTGCTCTGGCATGTGTTCAGACAACGACGGTCAGTCCGTCCATCCAACCAATCATCCAATCATCCATCCATCATTTATCTTTATTTGTATAATGCCAGTTAACGTCAGTGTAAAGTGATGAAAACCTCTCAGTCACAATGATCTGTAGAAACAGACTTTTAGTAAATGGTACAAACTTTTTTAAATTACAGAGAATTTTTATTTTTTACTGACATCTGTCTGTAAAGGTCAGTGAACAACCTTGAAATAAAAAAATACTGGCAGGAAAACAAATTCAGAGTAAGTTTAAATAAAAGATCTGTCTTTAACTTCAACTGCGGTCAGATTGATCCCAGAAGTTGTTCTTTATTCCATCATTTTGTTTTTGATGTTTTTCCCTTCATAAAAATCCCACTTGACTTCACATAATGTTGGGAATAAAACGAGGTTCTTTTTAGTGCCCTAGTGGTGACCTCTGGGTATTCCACCTGGAGGACTCAAGTCGTGCTTTTATTATAGAAGTATTTCACTGAAGTCATGTGACCCAGACACAGACACAGACAGAATCTCCTTATTTTAAAAACACCCAGGTGTCTTTTTAATGTCCGACTGACTTTTTTTTTCTCTCTAATCCAACCAGGTTGATGTTTTACACTCCGTCTACTGTAACCAGTCCACGGCGTCTTTTATTTCACTGCAGGGTCTCTGAAACTCTGCTCTCTGCAGATCATTTCCCTTGAGACTCTGTTCAATGTTTTCAACCATCACACTGGGCTCAGACAGTGGAAAATCATATTCTTTGATTGTATTCACACAGAATATTCTTTTCTTCTCTGAGCTTCATGATTCTGAACACCTGCAGGGATTTCACGCCTAAAAATCTTCAACATATTTCTGCCACGTCCTTGGCTTGGTTTCGTGGTGTGTGTGGAAGAGTGTGAATGTCAAAGGTTTGGCTGAATCTCTTCTTTGTTAGTAAATTATCAGCTGTAGTTTCTCAACCTTTGTACTTGAGAGTGAGAGCACCAGTAGTCCTGCTGGTCTCAGCTGGTGTCTACTGGTTTCTACTGGTCTCTGCTGGTCTCAGCTGGTCTCTGCTGGTCTCTGCTGGTCTCTGCTGTTATCTCTCTGTTATCTGTTATCTCTCTGTTATCTGTTATCTCTCTGTTCTCTCTCTGTTATATCTGTTATCTCTCTGTTATCTCTCTGTTATGTCTGTCCATCCTAACCTGTGTGCTGTCTGTGTTTTTTAATCTTCCTTCCAGAGCATGATAAGCAGCGCTACTGTAAAAGTACAGAATACATGAATCTTCACTTCAAAGTCAAATGGTTCCATAATGAGTACGTCCGTGAACTCCCGGCTTTTAAGGGCGTTCCCCCCGAGTATTCTCTGTGAGTATCCTCTCTTCTCTCTCTGTGCATTCATAACAAGGGAACATTTAGGACGTGTTTTAATTACAATGAGTGAGAAGGGCAAAGTAGTTGGGAGTAAAATATGATTATCCTGCAGTACAAGTGTAATGAGGTTGATTACGACCAACTATTAACATTATAAATCTGAACCAGAAAATCAACCCTGACCTTGGATTAATTAACATCATAGAAGAGAATGGAATGTCGTCTTTAGTCAAATGAATGTTAAACTTTCTATGATAACAATGATGTGACTAATGACACGGGTCATTATTATCACATGTCATGACTGGATCTCATTATTCATCGTCTTCATACGTTTCTTTTGTGATCCATGAAAATACAGGATGAACTCTCCGTCATCTGTCATCTATTTTTCACTCTAAGTATTTCATATTATTTTTTTTCAAAATAAACATCACATAAGTTTTTGTAACAAACAGAACAAAATTCAAGGAGAGGATGATTGAAAGCACTGTTGATCTATAAAAAAACAAACAAAATATAAAGTTCACCTGAGGTGTGGCCGTGGTCAGTTAAATCAACTAAATGTTTCACAGCAATAATAATATGAATCAGTGAAGTATTTACCCAGGGATTATAGAAAGAAAATCATTTAAAGGCTCATCAGGAAAAACTAAATTATAAACACATTCAACGTCCACTGTTCATCAGATAAATGACACCACGTCCTCCTGTCCTCACTGTCCCTGCAGCACATGAGCA